TCGGGTCATTAACAGCGAGACAGCCTGGCCTCAGTGAGAGGGAACGGCGGCTGGAGCAGCCGAGAGAGGCTGGGCACGATGAGATAATGCATCGCTCCTGCCGAGCCCTGCAGCGCTGCCCAGCCCAGCCCAGCCCCGCCGTGACAACAACACCAACCCCAATCCGTCCCAACCACGCTCCCAAAGCCCCGAGCGGGGGAGACCACGGGGAGAGACACCCCAGAGGACACCCCAAAGCGCCGGGCTGGGCACCTCGGCTGCCCCCACACCGGGGCACTGACACACGGCGAGGGGAGAGGCGGCTCCGCGCCCGGAGCAAGCGGGGACCGAGCCCCACCTTTGTTTTCACACCCACCCAAGGCGAGCTGAGGTTTTGGGGACACCCCCCAGCCATGTCTGCCCTTCAAGTGCTGCTAATCCCCCCCTAAAAACCATACTTGCCCCCCAAACAAAGCTGTTTCCTTCCAGAGCCATGTTCTCCCCCTAAAAGCTGTATTTACCCTAAAAAATGCCATTTCCCCCCACCGCCAGCACTGCCAGCCTGTGCCTTGGCACTGCCCCGTGCCAGCACTGAATTCTGGGGAAACAGGGATTTTAGGGGCAAAAAGAAGCTTGTCTTTTATTTTATTTTCTTCTTCTTTTTTCTTTTTTTAGGGTGGGAGTATGGCTTTTCTGGGGGAAGGATGGAGATTGGGGGGCCAAACATGGCTTTAAGGAGGCAAACATGGCATTGAAAGGAAGACATGGCTTTTCGAGAGGAAAATAGGGATCTTAGGAGAGAAACGGGTCTTTTTGGGGGAAACACGAGGTTTTCTAGGGAATCGTGGCTTTTAGGGAGAACATATAGCTTTTCTGGGGAAACGCGAGGTTTTTGGGGAAATGTCTTTTTGGGGGAAAGCATGGATTTTAGGGGAGGAAACATATGGCATATTGGGGAACAAACTGCTTTCGGGGGGGAAGCTTGGCTTTTTGGAAAGGAAACACGGCTTTCAGGGGGAAACACGGGTTTTTTAGGGGCAACACGGCTTTTTTAGGGGGAGCTTTGCTCTCCCCCCGCCCCGAGGGAGCCCCCAGAGACACCTTCCCCTCGCACCCCGGAGCTGGGAAGGGGCTTCCCCCTCCCAGAAGGGGCTACACCCACCCCGTGGGCTCTGCCCTCCGCAGCGACCCCCAAAGCGCTGTGAGGGGCTGCCACAGGGGCTCCCCCCACCCTCCACCCTCCAATGTGGCCCCCTCCACACCAGGCCTGTCCCGCCCCGAGGGGCCCGTCCCGCCGCCCCGCTCCCCAGGGAAGGGTCCCGCCCGGGGAAGCCGCACCGCGGGGCCGCTCTCACCTGCCGCCGGGCCGGGCCGAGCCGGGCCGGGCCCTCAGGGCTGCGGGCGGCGGGGCCGCTGCGTCGCCCCGGTGACGGCTCCGACCGGCGCCGCCATCTTCCCTCCCCGCCCTCCCGCCGCTGCCCCGGCCGCGCCGGCCGCGCACTGCGCAGGCGCGGGACCGCCTCACTGTGATCACGTGATAATGGGGCGGGCATGGGGGTGGTGTCATGGGGCCGCCATGATGGGAAGGTCAAGTCTTCTCTTCGCGGCGCAGCGCGGGGGCCGCCATGTTTGGATGGTCCCGCCGCCATGTTGGGACGGTCCCAGCGCCATGTTGGGCGAGGCGGGCGGGCGAGGCCGCCATGTTGGGGAGGTCGGCGCTAAGGCGGAGGTGCCAGGGCGGGTCCCGTTCCTTGTCCCGCTCCCTCCCGGGTTCTCACCCTCATGCACTGCCCCGGGAGGCGCAGCTGGGCACGGGGCCCGCTCTGCCCGCAGGGGCGGCTATCAGCGCCTGCTGCAGCCCCGCCATGTCCCGGCGTACCCCTCAGGGACCCGGAGCGTCTGAGGGCGCGGCAGGGAGGCGGGATGTGAGCTGTGCCCGCCGGGCTGTGGTGGCCGTGTTCCCATGGAGGTGAGGAAGGGAGGGAGCGGAGCCCATTCCATGGGGGAACAGCGCTGTGCAGGGCTGTGTTTCACCATCAGATCCCGCTGGCTGTTGTGTGGTGACATTATTCTCCGGGGAAAAGGTGATCACTGCCACGATCACACGGACTGCCGCGCTGTCTGTCCCACAGAGCCGCATCCCGCACGGAGGAGCCGGCTCAGCATCCCGGGCAGTGCCCTGCCCGAGGGCGGCTCCAGGAGCCTCACGGAGAGCCGAGATCCACGGCCAGGAGCCATGGAATGTCTCAGGACTGGGATAACCCTGGAGGAGCCGTGGGATGTCCCAAGTGCCTCATGCAGGGCAGGGATAACACAGGATGAGCCGTGTCCCAGGTGCTCTGTGGGATAACCCGGGAGGAGCCATGGGATGTCCCAGGTGCCCTGTGCAGAGCTGGGATAACCTGGGAGGAACCATGGGATATGTCCCAGGTGCTCTGTGGGATAACCCAGGAGGAACCCTGGGATGTCCCAGGTCATCTGTGCAGGGCTGGGATAACCTGGGATGAACCATGGAATGTCCCAGGAGCCATGTGAGGGGCTGGGATAACCTGGGAGAAGCCATGGGATGTCCCAAGTGCTCTGTGCAGGGCTGGGATAACCCAGGAGGAGCTGTGGGATGTGTCCCAGGTGCTCTGTGGGATGACCCAGGATGAGCCATGGAATGTCCCAGGTGCCATATGCAGAGCTGGGATAACCTGGGATGAACCATGGAATGTCCCAGGAGCCACGTGAGGGGCTGGGATAACCCAGGATGAGCTGTGGGATGTCCCAGAGCTGGGATAACCCAGAAGAAGCTGTGGGGTGTGTCCCATGTGTTCTGTGCAGACCTGGGATAACCCGGGAGAAGCCATGGGATGTGTCTCAGGTGCCCTCTGCAGGGCTGGCATAACCCAGGATGAGCCACAGGATGTGTCCCATGTGTCCTATGCAGGGCTGGGATAACCTGGGGACACATCTGGAGTTTGTCCCCCAGCAGGTGAGCTCCCCTGGGGTGTGACACCGCCATCAATGCCTCATTCCCAACGGATCCCGCCCGGTTTTTGGGATGCTCGGGGTCAGACATGGCTGGGACGGGGATTTTTTCCAGCAGGATGGAAGGAAACATCCCAGGCAACACTGCTGGAATGCTGGAAAGGATGAAGCCAAGAATGCCAGGCTCTGGCTGCTGGAAAAATCAGCTCCTGCTGCTTCTGGAAAAGTCCCAGAAGATGGGCAGGAACAGCCCCGGGCTGCTGCAACTTCTCCAGGGGAAACACCAAATCCCACCCAAAGGAGCTGAAATCCAAGGATTTAATGCCCATGGAGCACTGCACAACCCCCAGACCCCCTCCAGCATGGATGAACAGCCCCCCAAAATCCACCTGTGGGGTGTCCGGAGGCTCCCTGCCCAAATTTTGGGCTTGGCAGAGGAGAGGGAGGCTCAGACCCAGGGACAGACCGCAGGGATCGGGATTTGGTTTAGCTGGGGGATTATCGGGATGTTTTTAGGAGTCCCGTCGCCATCTGCCGGCAAAATCTGGCTCTAGGGTGGGAATCTGGGGAAAAGTTCAGGATTTTAGGACGGGTTCTCCAACTCCCTGTGTGAAAATCATGCTTTTTTTAGGGTGCTGAAGGGGCAGTTAATTTTTGAGGGAGGAAAAGGAAACGCAAATCCCACCCCAAAAACCTTTGTGTGGCTCAGAGCTCAAAGGAGAGCATTGGAGTGGGGAATATTTTGAGAAAATATTGAGAAATGAGAAAAGTTTAAGAAATTATGGGGACTTTGGATGTTTCTGAAGGCTGGAGCTGATCCTTATGCTCCATAAGAGCAGATTTAGGCTTAAATGAAGAGGCAGGAATTGGATGGAAGGACACACGGACACCTGGATGGCTGCAGGAGGGACCAGAGGCTGGATTGGTGGCTGAAACAGCCTAAATTTGGGGAGAGATTTATCCAATAACCCAAAATTAGGTGAAAACGCCTCAAAATTAAGAGAAAACACCCTAAAACTAAGAGAAGAGACTCAAAAATTTAAGGGAAAACAAAACTATAGAAAAACAAACAAACAAAAAAATGCCTGAACATTAGGAGAAAGCACACCAAAATCAAGGAAAAACTCAATATTAAGGGAAAACTCCTAAAAATTGTGGAAAACACACCAAAATCAAGGAAAAACACCTCAAAATTATGGGAAACCCCTCAAAATTGTGGAAAGCACACCAAAATCAAGGAAAAACACCTCAAAATTAAGGGAAAACCCCTCAAAATTGTGGGAAAACACACCAAAATTGAAGGAAAAAATCTCAAAATTAAGGGAAAACCCCTCAAAATGGTGGGAAAACACACCAAAATTGAGGGAAAGCTTCTCAAAATTAAGGGAAAACTCCTAAAATTGTGGAAAGCACACCAAAATCAAGGAAAAACACCTCAAAATTAAGGGAAAACCCCTCAAAATTGTGGGAAAACACACCAAAATTGAAGGAAAAATTCTCAAAATTAAGGGAAAACCCCTCAAAATGGTGGGAAAACACACCAAAATTGAGGGAAAGCTTCTCAAAATTAAGGGAAAACTCCTAAAATTGTGGAAAGCACACCAAAATCAAGGAAAAACACCTCAAAATTAAGAGAAAACTCCTAAAAATTGTGGAAAACACACCAAAATCAAGGAAAAACACCTCAAAATTATGGGAAACCCCTCAAAATTGTGGAAAGCACACCAAAATCAAGGAAAAACACCTCAAAATTATGGGAAACCCCTCAAAATTGTGGGAAAGCACATCAAAATCAAGGAAAAACACCTCAAAATTAAGGGAAAACTCCTAAAATTGTGGGAAGCACACCAAAATCAGGGAAAACCACCTCAAAATTAAGGGAAAACTCCTCAAAATTGTGGGAAAACAAACCAAAATCAAGGAAAAACACCTCAAAATTAAGGGAAAACTCCAAATTGTGGAAAGCACACAAAAATTGAGGGAAAACTTCCTAAAATTAATGGAAAACTCCTCAAAATTGTCAGAAAACACACTAAAATTAAGCGAAAATGTCTCACAGGGAAAGCACGCCCAAAGTGAGGGAAAACACCTCAAAATTGTGGGAAAACACACCAAAATTAAGGGAAAATATTTCAAAGGGAAAACGCGCCCAAACTGAGGGGAAACACCTCAAAATGTAAGGAAAACACAAAAAGAAACACCTCAAAATTAAAGGAAATCGCCTCAGCTCCCCGCCCTGAGCCGGGTCCTCCCGGCCGCCAGGGGGCGCTGTGGTGCAGCTCCCCGCCGCCGCTTCCCGCCCTTTCCGCGCTGCGCGTGCGTTGCCGGGCGCGGGCCGGCGGGCGGCGCGCGCATGCGCGGGCGCGCGGGCCCGGCGGCGGACGGGAATTAAAATGGAAGATGAGGAGGTCGCGGAGAGCTGGGAGGAGGCGGCCGATAGCGGGGTGAGGGCGGCGGCGCGGGCCGGCGCGGCGGGCCCGGAGCGCCGGGGGAGCGCGGGCGGGCGGCGCGGCGCTGCTTGAGGAGGCGGCGGGACGCGTCCGGCGGCGCGGCGGCCCCGCGGCGCTGCTAGGCCTCTTAAAGAGACCGCGGCCTCGCTCGGCGCGGGGGGCTGCGGGTCGCCCCCAGCCTCGCTGCTCGCCGGTTCTTCAGTCCCGCTTCAGGCCCTTCCTCGGAGCAGCTCCCTGCCCATCTTTCAGTCCCGCGTGTGCTCCTCGCTGTCCCAACCCCCTGGGGGCGGCGGGGCTGCGGCCGCGGGGGCTCGGCGGGGTCGCGGCCCAGCCCCGCGGGAGCTCCGCTGGCCGGGGAGGGTGGAGCAGGAGGGGCGAGCAGAGCCAAAATGTGCGAGCCCGGCATGGCCGTGACCCTGGCGGGCTCTGCGGGCAGCGAAGGCCTTTCCCCCCGATCGGAACGTGCTCCGTCACTCGGGCAGAACGGGGAGAGTCCCCGCCCGGCCCCTGGGGCTCGGCCCCGCTTCAGCGGCGGCTCCGGGGCTGGATGGGCACGGGGTGTGTCACGCCCGGGGACCCCGAGCGCTGTGAGGGCTGTGCCTGCAGAGCGGCGCTGCCTCAGCAGCCGTGTGGGCGGGCGCGCTGCGGGTGCTCGCAGCGAGGGGAAACTCCGCAGGGCAAACTCTGCTTGTGGCGGATCAGAGGGCAAAGAAACCTCCGGACGGGGCTCGGCGAGCAGCCTGGACGCCACTGTGGGCAAGGGATTGGGTTACACCTGGCCGGAGCCAGGGGAGCAAAATAGAGCCTGTAACTGAATGCCCGAGAGGGGCCGGTGCCAGGCTGGCAGCGCCGCTCGCCCGCCCCCCGTGCCCGGCTCGGAGATAATTCCAGCGCTCCATGAAGGGACACGGCTGCAGCCTCGGGAGCCCATGACTGTGGCCTTGAGTAATGGTTTAAAATGGTCCTGATGCTCCAATCCTGCTGTGGAGCGTCCTCCCAGTTTGTCCTTCCTGCTGGTACCTCCCAGGTGCTTTTCCTTAGAAGGAGAAATCCCTGGCACTTGTCCTTTCTCATACCCATTTCCAGTCCACACTGCCGGGAATTCGTGTTTGTAACCTCATGGGTGCCTGTGCTGGTGAGCAGGGAGAGCAGAGAGATCCCTTGGGGAGTCACACAATCCTTGGAGTAGGAAAAGCTCTCCAGGACCATCGAGTCCTCCCTGTGCTCCATCCCCACCTTGTCCCCAGCCCAGAGCTCTGAGTGCCACCTCCAGGCTTTCCTTGGACACCTCCAGGGATGGGAACCCCAAACCTCCCTGGGCAGTTCCAAGGCCTGAGCCCCCTTTCCCTGCAGAAATTCCTCCTGGTGCCCACCCTGAGCTCCCCTGGCCCAGCCTGAGGCCATTCCCTCTGCTCCTGTCCCTGTTCCCTGGAGCACAGCCTGACCCCTGGGCTGTCCCCTCCTGTCAGGAGCTGTGCAGAGCCACAAAGGCCCCCTGAGCCTCCTTTGCTCCAGGCTGAGCCCCTGCCCAGCTCCCTCAGCTGCTCCTGTGGGCCTGGCAGGAGGAGCAGCTGCTGTTGCAGTTGTTGATGCCTGTGGAGCAGTTGGAGGGGGGTGGGATGTGAGCTGCCTGTGCAGGCTGGGAGAGGGGCAGGAGCTCCCTGGGGGTCAGGAAGGGGATCTCACTCTGTGCCTGGCAGGAAGGAGCCCTGGAGCTGCTGGTAGTGCCTGCAGGAAGTGGATGCTGACAGGATGGAGCACAGGAGAGCCCAACCTCCCCTTGTCCCGTGGTTCTTGTGGTGCTGACTGATGCTGCTGCAGCTGGGGACGTTCAGGTGTCCCAAAGTCACAGGCACAGGTGGGCACAGAGCAGCCAGGGCAGGAGGAGGCTCTGCTGTGGCACCAGCAGCAACTGCAGCTCCTCCTGAGGGGCAACTCTGATCTCTGCCTGAGAGCAGGGACAGCAGCCAGGGAAGGGCTGGGGCTGGCCCAGGGGGGTTTGGGCTAGAGATCAGCAAAGGCTCTTCCCCAGAGGGTGCTGGCACTGCCCAGGCTGCCCAGGGAATGGGCACAGCCCTGCCAGAGCTCCAGGACAGGCTGGGATTGTTGGGGTGTCTGTGCAGGGCCAGGGGCTGGGTTTGATCCCTGTGGGTCCCTTCCAGCTCAGGACATTCCCTGGTTCTGTGATTTTCTTCCATCCAAGGCAATCCCAGCATACAGGAGCAGGGCTTGGTGGTCCTGGTTGGTGCTCAGGAGGCTGCAGCAGAGCAGAGACACCAGGGAGCAGCTCAAACACATCGGGCTGTGACAGTGCCAGGACACAGGGAATGGGCAGGGTTAGCTGGGGCACTGGGCAGGAATTGTCCCCTGTGAGGGTGGGCAGGCCCTGGCACAGCAGCTCTGGCTGTCCCTGGATCCCTGGCAGTGCCCAAGGCCAGGTTGGACATTGGGGACAGTGGAAGGTGTCCCTGCCATGGCAGGGCTGGCATGAGCCCTTAAAGCTGGAGGAGCTTTAAGATCCCTCCCAACCCAGACCATTCTGGGATTCTGTGATGCTGACACTTCCCACTGTTGGGAGCCTGAGTTATTTAATGTTTTAGACCCTTCAGCACACGAGGGAACAGTAGGGATACACCAGGAGATCCATGGTGGGTTTTATGGATGCATTATCTGTGTCCTAGCATGTCATTTTTTAATATTCCACCCACAGGGTGTTCCTTGGGAAAGCAAATACATCACATTTTCACTTCTGGGGGTTTTTGTTTGTAGCTTTTGGTGAGGCTGAGAATTCTGCTCAAGGCCTTGAGGAAGGTTTGTCAGCAAGAGGCAGCTCTGGGCCAAGCAGAGATCCCAGGGTCTCCTAATTAAAATTCACCTCATTTCTCTCTTGCAGCTCTCCCAAATCAGGCACCAGGAAAATCTCATTAGGTTGAAGAAAACCCCTAAAAATCCAACCCAGCTTGGTTTGGTCACTCAGGGAGCTGTGGAACAAATCCTGGTGGTTGGTTGGGTGTTCAAGGTGGCCTCTCTTGCTCTTGTGCCATCAGAGCTGCCCCAGACACGGAGCAGCTCCTTGGGAATGTGCCACCCCTGAGTGACCATGACAGTGTCCCCTGTCCCAGGGCCACAGGGTGCAGCAGAGCTCCGTGGGGCCTCTGGGTCGTTGTCACCTCCCTGTGTCCAATTAGAGCCCTGGAATGTCTGTGGAATGGGGAGTTACAGCTGGAAACCAGGCTGTGAGTAACCTCTGAGTTAGGAGTGAGGGTGGGAAGGGCTTCAAAGGCCAGTCTGGGTCAGAAAACACTAATGAGCCTTAATTCCTGGTTTGTTTTTGTGTGGTGTTGTGTGGCCCAGCTGGCAAACACAAATGAGAGGTCCGTTGGTGACACTCCGGCCTGTTTACCTGGCTAAAGCAATAATTAAATGTTCTGGGCTCCAGAACTGCAGTGTGTGCATGGTCGTGGGTGATCCTCAGCTTGGAACTGGTGCCTGGCAGAGAGATTCATTGGTTGTTCCTTTACCAGGTAGAATTGGAGTGTGTCAGAGTCTTAATCATTGATTCCAGGTCAGGATCTCTTTCAGCTTCATCCCAAGGGAGGGGACAGCTCTGAGAGCAGGGACAGCAGCCAGGGAAGGGCTGGGGCTGGCCCAGGGGGGTTTGGGCTGGAGATCAGCAAAGGCTCTTCCCCAGAGGGTGCTGGCACTGCCCAGGCTGCCCAGGGAATGGGCACAGCCCTGCCAGAGCTCCAGGACAGGCTGGGATTGTTGGGGTGTCTGTGCAGAGCCAGGGGCTGGGTTTGATCCCTGTGGGTCCCTTCCAGCTCAGGACATTCCCTGGTTCTGTGATTTTCTTCCATCCAAGGCAATCCCAGCACACAGGAGCAGGGCTTGGTGGTCCTGGTTGGTGCTCAGGAGGCTGCAGCAGAACAGAGACACCAGGGAGCAGCTCAAACACATCGGGCTGTGACAGTGCCAGGACACAGGGAATGGGCAGGGTTAGCTGGGGCACTGGGCAGGAATTGTCCCCTGTGAGGGTGGGCAGGCCCTGGCACAGCAGCTCTGGCTGTCCCTGGATCCCTGGCAGTGCCCAAGGCCAGGTTGGACACTGGGGACAGTGGAAGGTGTCCCTGCCATGGCAGGGCTGGCACTGGAGGAGCTTTAAGGTCCCTCCCAACCCAAACCATTCTTGGATTCTGTGATGCTGACACTTCCCACTGTTGGGAGCCTGAGTTGGGAGTCAGGACATTCCCTGGTTCCCTGCAGGTCAAACATTCCTCTGGCAATCCAAAACGGGTTAAAACCCCATGGAATTCCTCTCCTTGTGTGTTTTTTTCCCCTTGGAGTTTGCAGACTGAGCTCCCAGCTGCTCCCTGCAGCCCCCCCCAGTGTCCCCAGTGGTGTCCCCAGTGATCCCAGCCGTGTCCCCAAGAGGGGAGAACCTGCCCCATGTCCTGTGATCGGCCATTCCAGGAGGATGGAGCAGCCAGAGGCTGGGAATGCACTTTGGCCTGGCCTGGGACTGTCCCCAGCTGGTGTCACAGCACTCAGGGAGGACAGGGCACCCGAGGTGGCAGAATGTCTCCTGTCTGTCACACGTGAGAGTGGCATGGGTGCCACCTGCCAGGCTCTGGGTCACTGGGTCTGGAGGTGTCAGCTGCTGTCACCTGGAGGTGCTCAGTGGGGTTGAAGTCCAGCAGAGGCAGAAGGGAAACACTCTGGAGTGTGACACTGTGACCTCCCTCTGCTAATGAGTGCTGTGATCAGAGGCCACACTAACGAGGCTGGGGTGTGCAGAGCTGTGGCTGTGAGGAAAACTGGGTTTTGGGGTCAGGGCTGTGAGGGAATCCCAGAAACCCTTAAAGCTCATCCCATTCCATGTCCTGCCATGGCAGGGACACCTTCCACTGCCCCAGGCTGCTCCAAGCCCCAATGTCCAGCCTGGCTTTGGGCACTGCCAGGGATCCAGAGCTGCTCTGGGCACCCTGTGCCAGGGC